AAGCTGAGCTCAGTTCTGCAGGAAACTATTAGTTTGTGCATCTTATATGTGGCCAGGTGTTGAAGTTCCGGCTAGAGGCTCACGCTAAAGAAAACTTGGATAATAGCATGTGGATTAGGGAATGGTGTCCTATGGGATCCTCTTGGATAGTACGTATTCAGGAGACAAAGGACCAGGTGGAAGTAGTTGGGATGAATCTATCTATAAGCTACTTACGTATTTAACCAACTGTTGCCTGACAAATGTAGATCAGGATAACCAAGACCATTGTAAAATGACTTTCTTCCAGAGTTAAGGATAAGTGACAACATTCACGATATGGCAAGCATTGACTCCTCAATGCTTGCAATATCATGAATGGTTTTAAGCCTGAGAGATTTATTCATTCCTGCATTAATTCCACAAATTATATGGCTGGTGTATGGCCATGAATTACATACTTCCTACCCTCAAATAACTTAGTATAGTAACAGACAAATATTTAGATAATTTGAGCATGGTCTAGAAAGACAGAAGTGCATTGGATTTTACTAGAATATTGAATAAGGATGCCCAGCCCAGCTTAAGGTGGGTAGGACATGGGGAACAATGTCAGAGAAGACTTCCTGGAGGATGTTACATCAGAATTGGTTTTTAAAGAACAGTAGTTTTACTGGCTGAGAAAGGAAGAGGGATGGGTGTGTGGGAGTGTTGGGGTGGGGATGGCAGGGTGTGTGGGAGTGTTGGGGTGGGGATGGCAGGGTGTGTGGGAGTGTTGGGGTGGGGATGGCAGGGTGTGTGGGAGTGTTGGGGTAGGGGTGGTAGGTGAGTAGATGGTGGTGTTCAGGAAAGGGACAGCATCAACCATGGTATGGAGGGGATATCGAATCAAGACTTGTGCCTGGGTTGGGCACAGTGGCTAACGCCTGTAATCCCAGCAATTTGGGAGGCTGAAGTTGGTGGATCACGAGGTCAAGAGATCAAGATCATCCTGGCCAATATGGTGAAACCTTATCTCTACTAAAAATACAAAAATTAGCTGGGTGTGGTGGCAGACACTTGTAGTCCCAGGTACTTGGGAGTCAGAGGCAGGAGAATCACTTGAACCTGGGAGGTGGAGGTTGCAGTGAGCCAAGATCATGCCACTGCTCTCCAACCTGGTGACAGTGTGAGACTCTGTCTCAAAAAAAAAGACTTGTGCCTGGTAGCACTATGTTTGAAATGCTAAATGGGCATCTGGAAATGTCACAAAGGTAAGTAGAGGTGTGTGTCTGCAGTTTCAGGGCGAGGACACAGCTGGAGATCTAAATTTAGCAGTCCCCAGTATATACATGGTATTACATGGTATTTACATATGTGAGACTAAGCGAAGTTGCTCAAAGAATGCATAGTTACACAAGGGACCCCAGTACGGAGGCTGAGGAGACAGATTACCCTAATATTTATTTATTTATTTGTTTATTTAGAGACAGGGTCTTGCTCTGCTGTCCAGGCTGGAGTGCAGTGGTATGATCATGGCTCACTGCCGCCTCAACCTCCTGGGCTCAGGTGATACAGGTAGCTGGGACTACAGGCACATACCACCACACCCAGCTAATTTTATATGTATATATATTTTGTAGAGACAGGGTCTCCTTTTGTTGCCCTGGCTAGTCTCAAAATCCTGGGCTCAAGTGTTCCTCCTACCTCAGATTCCCGAAGTGTTGGGATTACAGGTGTGAGCTACTACGCCCGGAGACCACTCTAATATTTAGAGGGTAGTCTAGGAGGAGGAGCCAGCAAAAGAAACCACAAGGAATGGCTATACAGGTGGGTGGGTTGAGTGGGGGGGGGCGGTGACCAATAACGTGTCAAGGGAAAAAAAATAGAGTCTCAAGAAGAAGGGATTGATGGATGATTTAGAATGCTGCCGGGAAATAGAGAAAAATAAAAACAGAGATGTGACTATTGAATTTGGTAACACAGAGATCGTTAATGACCTTGACAGAGGCCATTTCAGTGCAGTGGTAAAGGGGGAGGAAAGTAGAGCAGTGTGTGGTGGCACATGCCTGTAGTCCCAGCTTTTAGGGAGGCTGAGGCAGGAAGATCGCTTAAGCCCAGAAGTTTGAGGTTGCAGTGAGCTATGATCATGCCATTGCATTCCAGCCTGGGTGACAGAGCAAGACTCTGTCTTTTTTTTTTGAGACAGAGTCTTGCTCTGTTGCCTAGGCTGGAGTGCAATGGTGTGATCTCCGCTCACCGGAACCTCTGCCTCCCGGGTTCAAGCAATTCTTCTGCCTCAGCCTCCCAAGTGGCTGGAACTACAGGCATGTGCCATCATGTCCCGGTAATTTTTTGTGTTTTTAGTAGAGACCGGGTTTCACCGTGTTAGCTAGGATGGTCTCAATCTCCAGACCTCATGATCTGCCCGCCTCGGCCTCCCAAAGTGCTAAGATTACAGGTGCAAGCCCCCGCCCCTGGCCAAGACCAAGACTCTCTTTAATAGAAAAACAAGAATTTTTTTTAAGAGGAAGATAGGCAGTGAGATGGACAAAAGCAACCCTTGACTGAGCTAGCGGGTGTTGTGGCTCCTCTTCCTCAGGGGCATTCTGATGAATGGAAGTTGACTTATGGTCTTCTGACAGGGCTGTCCAGGGCCCAAAAAGAGCCAGGTCACTTATACCACGGTGCCAGGGCACACTGGCCCTTGATTATCAGAACCATGTCAGCCCATTCCACAGGCATGAAGTACCCTTGAGGCTCCAAATAACGTTCTTAAAACAGCACCTGGCACGTAGTCGGTGCTATATGAATTTTTGTTATAATTATACCAGTTTCTAGGCAAGCTTTATTGGCTTCTAAGAACAAATCATTTATGTAAACCAAATCATTTTCAGGATGTGTAAAGTCTATGTTCTTTTTTCCCGTCTGTCTTTCTCTCTCTCTCCCTCTTTCTGGGTTCTGGTTAGGATAGAGAGCTCTCTCTGGAGAGTCTAGCATAGAACCACCAAAGAAGGGTCGAGCAAATGAAAAGGAAAATAACTGAAGGCATATCCAGAGAAATACATTTATGAAAATACCAACATTGAAGGAAATATATCCTACAGTGCATTAAAGTTTTGTACCTGTTATACAGGTAGCCAGAAGATGACAGATAAAGGGTGGATTTTTGGTTTTGGTTAATTCATTCGGTTAATTCATTGGTTAATTCATTTCATGCAGAAATGGAGGAATGATCATGCAGTAGTGCAGTTGTACCTTTGGAGGAATTTCAGGTATTGTGTTACAGTTCCACTGTTTTAGAAATCAAGAATATGGTAGAAAGTGGAGATGGTGGGGGCCAGGCGCAGTGGTTCATGCCTGTAATCCTAGCACTTTGCTAGGCTGAGGCGGGCGAATCACGAGGTCAGGAGATGAGATCATCCTGGCTAACACGGTGAAACCCCGTCTCTACTGAAAATACAAAAAATTAGCTGGGTGTGGTGGCGTGTGCCCGTAGTCTCAGCTACTCGGGAGGCATGAGAATCCCTTGAACCTGGGAGGCATAGGTTGCAGTGAACTGAGATGGGGCCACTGCACTCCAGCCTGGGCGACAGAGTGAGGCTCGGTCTCAAAAAAAAAAAAAAAAAAAGTGGCGATGGTGGGGAGGAGGTATAAATACCTTAAACTCCCCCTTCTTGGTCTCCAAACGCCTTTATCACTCCATTCAGCCTTAGGCCAAATTCTGGATGCTTTTGCAGGTGGTTTTCATGTGTAAAACGTGCATATCTATCTCCTAGGAGTATTGCGGAGATGGAATGCGATATGTAAAGTGTGCCGTATATAGCAACTGCATCATTAGAGCATCTTTCAGCAGAAGTGCACATCCCGTCTTAGCTGATGACTGGCATTTCCTGTTCATTTTTTTCCTTCTACCTCTTAACCTTACTGACGATGCTTTCAATACAAATCTAATAATAACGGCAACTAACATTTATCATGTGCTCAAATTAAGTCATTTCATCTCGCCAACAATCCTATCAGGTAGGACTGTCATCTTCATCTGCTGAGCCTTGGAATCACGTTAGGCAGCCTGGCTTCAGAGCCCAGCTCTTTTTTTGTTTGTTTGTTTTAGATTTGGCAGGAACGCATTCTGTCTCCCAGGCTGACAGCTCACTGCAGCCTTGACCTGCGGGGCTCCAGCAGTTCTCCCACCGCAGCCTCCTGGTAGCTGAAACTGTAGGCACGCCATCATACCTGGCTAATTTAAAAAAAAAAAAAAATTTTTTTTTTTTGTAGAGATGGGTCTCCCTATGTTCTCCAGGCTGAACTTGGAACTCCCGGTCTCAAGCGATCCTCCCGCCTCGGCCTTCCAAAGTGCTGGCACTACAGGCCTGAGCCACCGCGCCCCGCCCTGAGCCCAGCTCTTAAGCACGGATTCCACCATGTTTACTTAGCTGCAGAGACCCAAGCTACTTCTTGGGCCATACCCTTCTCACCGCAAACTCAGGTTTCTGTTAGAAACCACCCTTAGTGGCCGCAGTGCCCAGGACTCCCGCCTTGGTTCCTGGGGCCCACGCGAAGGTAATTTAATTCACCCAGATGGAAGCAGCCCAAGCGCGTCCCTCTGAACCCCGTGAACTTTCATCCCGGCTGAGCAGCGAGTCTGCACTGCTGTCCCTTCCTTTGTGGTCTCAGGGCTGACGCAAAGCGACACTTTCTTAAGTAGCAATACGGGTATTCTCAAAAAAGGCACAGGACCCCAAGAATCCCTGCAGACGAGCACGTTAACTGGACAGCTGAGCCCGCCCCAGAGCCCTGGCGCTACCGCGAGGGGCTGCGACACCGCGAGGCGCAGACAGCCGCGGCCTGGGGCAGGAGGAGCGGGCAGAGGGAGCGCCACCGCGAGACGCGGGCGCGGCAGAGGCCGCGCAGGCCAGGACGCCGAGGGCGGGGCAAGAGCGCAGCAGGAAGGGGGCGTGGCCAGGAGCCCGCCCGGCCGCTCCCCCGCCCCTCCCCCTCCGCTCTCCGCCCCAGCCCGGCGGCTCCGCCCCGTGGGTGACGTCACTGGCCAGGCCAGCCGGCGCCATTTTGAAAGTGGAGTCGCCTGCCCCTGCCGCTGCCGCTGCCGCCGTCGCTGTCGTAGCCGCCGCCGCCGCTGCCGGAGAAAGAGCACGAGCGGGGAAGCCTTAGAGTGAAATCTAGCATCCTGCCGGCTGCTCTGCCCGCCCCTCCTTCCTTTTCCCCCAGCCCCCGTCCCCTCCCCCCGCAGGTGCCATCCGCCGCCATCCGCCCTCTCTACCCCCCCATCCCCAGGTGAGGGGGGTGAGTTCAGGAAGCGGAGACCCCGAGGAACCCCGCAGGGTCACCATTTGCAGCGCAACATGGCAGGTAAAGGAGAAATCCCCCTCGCCCCCTGACAAGGCACCGTTTCCTTCTTCCTCCCTCCATCACCCCCTAGCGACCGCCCTCGCGCGGAGCCACGGGGCGCCCCTCGGGTTTGAGGGAGTGGGGTCCAGCGGGGTGGGGTGGAGGCGGGGAGGGCTCGGAGGAGGCGAGTGGTCGCGGTGAGAGCCACTGGGCTTGGAGAACGGGGCTGGCGCCGTGGCGGAGTGGGGGTGGGGTGTGCCGGCGAGCTTGGGGTGAGGCGTGGGTGGGGCGGGGTGGGGGCGCGTGCAGATTTGTCTCTCCCGCTCGGGAGCCGGGTGGATCCTCTCCCACCTCGCCCCCCGTCTTTATTTTTATTTTCTCCTGCAGGTCTTCATTTAATTTCTTTTTTTCCCCGGGCTGCAAGCCGCCTTGGGTGTATATACACATTATTTTGCACTGAGAAGGAAGAGCGCCTTACAAGTTAAAATGCAGTGGGGGCATATGTGTCTTTTTTTCCCCCCACTGTGGATGCCAATATTTTTGAGATTGGAAGCCTAAATTTTTTGTTTCAAACCATTTCCTTTCCGTTTCTTTCCCTCTTCCCACCAAAGAGTGCAAGGCCTTTCATGTACAGCAAGTTGCATGAAAAACATAATTTCAACTTTCCGTTTAACATGTTAGCTTTTTTGCAGATGTCCTTTTCCCAAAAGGGTTTGGTAGAGTTAGTTAAAATAGTTGCGGAGTTCAGAGATATAAATAGTAAGGAGGAGAGAGATTTAGGTAGAAGCTTTGTAGGGGAGGGGAAAGGATGTAGAGAGAAAACCAGTTTGGAAATAAATTTAGCAAGGAATAGGGGTGACAGGGGAGAGAGAAGTAATGTAATTGCTTTGAGAATTCTTTTTGTACATGTTGGTGTTGCTAAATCTTTTCCTTCATGTAGTAGAATGGGTTCCAGATTTAGATTCAGTGTCTTTCTCCCTGGAGCTTCAGGACGTTTTCACCGTTTCGTCCTCAGTACTTGCACGTGAAATAGAAACATTCCGAGATTAGACCAGTTTTCCGTGCTGTGTTCATAATTTAGAGAATTAAACCTTTTGAAAAAGTTAACATGTCGGATTGACTTAAGGTTTGCCATGAAACAAGTTGCTTGTTGGCCTTGTTGAATGATGAAATGAGATTAAAATTGTTTTGCACGAGATGACATACTAGCAAAATGAATTATTTGCCAGATCCTTTGGAGTCGAGGGATGAGTTGAAGGGAGGCAGAACAAGCTTCCTTTGACAGTCTCTTTAGCAGCATTCATTTTGGTTTCTTTTCCTCTCTGTCTGGAGCCAGTGATTTGCTGGTAATGAATGCAAAGAAATGGGTGTAGTGTTTGCTGTGTGTGCACTTGGTGATAGGGTTCATATGAATCATTACTCCTCACCCAGGCAGTAATGTTCCCGAAGTTTTCTCTCCGTTCTATGTTTCATGGTAGTTTAACCTTATTAACTCTTCTGCAGGCTTTTTGTACACTTAAAAAGAAAACTTTTTAACTCTTGCTATTTACTTTTTTCTGGTAGGTCTTGCCTGAGTGTAAGGCTTTTATGATTTTTGAGAGGAAGGGAGGTTTGTGAGCAGATGTATAATGACCATAGAACATATGCCTTTAAATATTTCATACCTGGAATCTTTTTTTCTGTTTAATACAATACCAACTATTGGGGACTTAACCTTCTTCCAAACTGGTGCTGTTGGTGGTAGTTGTGCTCTTGGTGGTAGTTGTATGTGTGGGCAAAACTAAGCTGTTAGTATCATGATCATGCCAACCGTGGATTGTTTACGAGAGTCAACATGAGCAGAACTCAGTTTTAATTGGTATGTTTTCTCTTTCCAGGAGCTGGAGGAGGGAATGATATTCAGTGGTGTTTTTCTCAGGTGAAAGGAGCAGTAGATGATGATGTAGCAGAAGGTAAGAAAGCATTTAATAATGCAAAATTTGGATATATAATTTTTTCAGAACTCTTTCCTGAGGGATTTCCTTGAAGCCGAGACTACTAAAAATTCAAGATGATTTTGTGTTTATTGTCCAAGAAATGTAAAAACAGTTTTAAAAGTTACCTTTCTGAAATACAGCCTTGTTTCTTTTGTAATTTATGCCTTGTTTTTATTATTTTTACTCTGAATTTACATGAAAGGAGCAATAGATGATTAGACGTATAGAATCATCACATGAAAGCTCTGAGCTCCATATAAGGGTTTCTTTGTTACATAAATTCCACATAGGAATAAATGGTGATGCGTTTTTCTGTTTGTACATTGTTTTTAGATAAGTAAATTGAAATAGGTGCCATCAATGTTTGGCTCAGAAACATTCTTAGCAGCATCTTTTATTTTTATGGGAAGATTTTTAACTTCTTTTGACTTTGTCTGCTGTGGGAATGTAATGCTGATTGGCATATTCTGTGAAGAGATGGTAGCTCAGATTATTCATTTTGTTGCCTGTCTGGTATTTAGGTGGATAAGACAGTAACTGCTATGCATATATCGCTTGTCTTCTAGAAAGCTGCTATTCTTGCTGCAGGTAGAAACTGTGTTTGATCAATTGAAGTACTTATGTCTAATTTTCTCCCCAAATTTGTTGACTGATGTGTTTCAGAAGTTGAGTTTTGAAACTTCAAGGTCGTACATTTGTTTGAGATGGTCTTAGGCAACAGAGGCATTTCCCATAAAGTAGTTGCATTATTTCATTGCTCAGAAGTGTTAAAATTTGAGCTTTAATAGTATTCTGTGTCTTGAATTACAGTAGGAATTTTCCAGACAAAACTCAAGATAAATTTAAACGTACTTTTTGAGTTTTAAAAAATTGTTTGGTGAAAATTTACAAACCTTTTTTCCCTAGATTGTGTTGTCCTCATATTTCTGACCTGTCTGTAGAGTACTGTTTGGAGATTTTTTTTCAGGTGGTGGATGGTAGGAGATGGCTTTGCGTTTAGACAGCCGAATGCTTTTATTTGCTTGTGTCAGTGTCATTCTTAATGAAGTGTCTGTTTTAGAGTGTGGTGAATCCTATGGGAAGCCAACTGGCATGTGCTATATCTGTCATATTTTGCAGAGCTCTCATGTTCCTTTTCTGTTGGATCCTCATCTGTTTCTTAGACAAGAAACCAGTAACAAAAGAGACTGACTGATAGTCATACAAATAGTATAAATCAGGGTTTTCTGGTGAAGTCCGTGGTGTTTGACTTGTTTAGAGAAATAAGTCCTAACTTCAAGGGAGGAGTTGTGTATTACTCATGTTGTAACTCCATTACCTGTTAAATAGTAGACACTCCAGTATTGGATCATTAGTTCTGTGCTGTTGTGTAATACTCACCAAGTTTTGAAAGTGCCGTATACTTGGAAACTGTTCTTTGGTTGAATTCCATTTACTCCCTTAGGAAAGGTCCCCTAAAAGCTGAGCACTGAGGATACTTGTTGTCTAGAACATAAACTCTGCCCACAGGGAGCTCATGGTTTGCTTGTTAAACATTAGGCAGAAAGACCACATGGCTTTTATTTAATCAGAAGAAATTGGTATTTCAAACTGAACATCATTTAACTGAAGCAAATAACTTGTGATACAGAGTAAGTCCTCACTTAATGTTGTCAATAGGTTCCGCGACTTTAAGCAAAGAAAGCAACTTAAAATCATTTTTTGTCAATACTGTAACAAGATGCTGAGCAGAAAGCTAAGTCGAAGTTTTCAAGAACCTATTGGCCATGTAAAGTTAGCAGTTAAATCAGTTATAGTTTCCCTTTGCTAATACTTAGTAGCTGCATTTTTCTACTGATTCATTAAGTAATTTTCTTTTGAGGTTGTTAAATGTTATTTTAACATAAGCATATTTTTAACATCCTAAAATGCTACTTGGTATATATATATATTTTAGTAAAAAAAAAAATTTTATCTTAGTAAAAATATGTACTTGTTCTAATAGCTATTGCTATACAAATATATTAAGTATAAAGATCCAATTTTCAATGACACCACTTTGTTTTTTTTTTTTTTTGCATACTAGAGTTTGCATATTATAGTCTTGTTTATTTTACTAAGGGAAGCTTTGCTTTTCTGAAGTAAAATAAGATTATTAACACATTTCCCCCCCCACCCCATGTTTAGACAGATCTCTTAAACAGGTTACATGTAGGTCAACTTTTTACTTGCCTGTTTTCTGTTAATGATGTATCTGGATTGTCTCCATATTGTCTGTCTTTCTCCCATCTACATGCAGTCAGCTGCCAGGGCATACCATTTTTACTCTGTAATGCCTTAATCTTCTTTGCATACCTGCTTTCACCTCTATTTGGGTTTGCACTCTTTCTCATCTGGATTGCAGTAACTTCCTAAATTATTCTCTGCTTCTTCATCCTATGTTTTCCTTCTGAGTTAATCTTAAATGCAGTCCCAGTTTTGTCGTTTTTCTCATAAATCTACAGTGGATCACTGTCCACTGGATTAGGAGTTAAGTCAAACATGTCAGTCTAGAATGTATGACCTTTGTCCTGTATGGCTTCTCCTTTTCTCAGTCTATTTGCTGCTGTGGCTAATGATCCAGCTAAACAGGTACTGTTCTTCAAAGGCGTTCTATGCTCTCTCACTTTTGAGTTTTTGTTTTTTGCTGCTTCCACCTTGGGATGCCTGACAGTCCTCCTGCAGTTCTCTTACCTGGATCCTGCTCATGCTTCAAGTCATGCCTTTAACCTTTTTGCTTAATTCCCTCTTTTGGAAATACCTATTTTTTAAATCTTTCTTTATAGCACTTCGTTGCGTAGATATCATATTTTGCACCCCACATCTCTACTGTTAGATGCTACAAGCTTAGTGCAGGACTGATTTATCTTCGTACCTTATGCAGGCATGAAACTGCTCTGTCTAGAACAATGCCTGGCACACAGTAGTTGAGTATTGTTTGACTGAAGGAACATAAATGTTATTGTTCTTAGGTTTTGAAAGGGGGTGAGAACTGGTAAAAGGCAGGATGATCGAGATGTACTTCTAGCAGTCATGGATTTATTTACTTGGTAGAATTTTTAAAATAAAAATTTTAAACGCTCTCTGCAGAATCATTGGTAGGCTTTTTATAACTGAGTTGATGATATACAACTGTACAATAAATATAAATCAGAGGACCTTGGGTTTTTACCCTAGCTCCAGCACAAACTAGTGTATGTCACTTGGGAACTGGGGTTAAGTACTCCCCTGCGTTCCTGTATGTTTAGCAATGAAGTAACAAGGCTGGATTAGGTGATTTCTGCTTTTCCTTGTACTCTAATCTTGTTAATTTCCAGTGGCATCTAAAAAGAAACAAGCCAAATTCTTTTTCTTTTTTTTTTTTTTGAGATGGAGTCTCACTCTGTCAGGCTGGAGTGCAGCGGCGAGATCTCGGCTCACTGCATCCCCTGCCTCCTCGGTTCAAGTGATTCTCCTGCCTCAGCCTCTTGAGTAGCTGGGACTACAGGCACGTGCCACGATGTCCGGCTCATTTTTGTATTTTTAGTAGAGGTGGTTTTGCCATGTTGGCCAGGCTGGTTTTGAACTCCTGACCTCAGTTGATCACCTGCCTCTGCCTCCCAAAGTGCTGAGATTACGGGTGTGAGCCAGCAGCCATAAAATTATTAGTACTGGTAATAATTACTGGTAATTAACACTACTGGTAAGCTAAATTGTTTGAGATACTGGACTCTCTAGAAGACTTAAGTCAAAAATAATTATTACTAGTAATATATTTTATATTTTTAATTTTTCTTTTATTGATAACTTTGTCATGAGACGGTAGGTAAGAGCACAGACTCAGGTGCTAGGCTGCATGGTTTGAATCTTAGTCATTTATCAGTTGTGTGATCATCTCTTTGTGCCTGGCTCCCCTCTACAAAATGAGGGTAACAGTAAAACCTGTCTTACTGTTACTTTGATGATTAAATGAGTTTATACACATAAAATAGAACAGTACCCAGCACAAAAGAATCTTATGAGGATTTAGATATTATTATTACTTGAACCTTTATTTTATTCTTACTTTGAAGGGAGGAGTCTTTGGGGTATGAGTAAATTGGGGAATTGTCTTTAAAGCCTACTAAAGATTTCTCAAAGTGAAGGAAACAGCATGTGTGTATTTTATACATATTCTTTGAATCCACTAGTAATAAATTATAAAATACATTAAAAACTAAGCTATAGGTTTAGAGACACATACGAAGCTGGTAAAACTACAAAGAAAAGCTATGAAGTAAAAGAAAAAAAGTACTGTAAAAAATACTATAAAAGTCAGTGTACAGGCTGCTTTGAAGCTGTTGGGAGGGAGTTGTGATTGGGAAGGCTGGGGAGGCATCTTAGGGGCTGCCTTGACTGGGATGATGGTTGTACAGAGGTTTATAAAGACTAACCTAGACATTTTCGTTTCAATTTTTGGTTTTCTTTATCAGTCAGATTTCGTAATAAGAAGTTTTTAGTTAATACTGTACTACAGGATTTAGGATGAAAAGTGGCAGTCCCCTAGCTCACCCGCTCCTTAATCCCTAGGCCGACTCCAAAGAGGAGTAGTTCCACTCTTCTGCTGGATTCCTTAGTGCGTCATTTCCTTTTTGGGAATAAAATGATATTTCTATATCTTATCAATTTTAGACATTTCCAGCTGACTTCCTCCTTTAGTAGATGACGACTAAGCTGTTCACATTGTCACCCCATTTCTCTCTCCATTGTGTCGCGGTGTTACATCACACGCTGTGGTTAAATTGGATGTCAGTGCTCATGTTGTTGTGACCATGCCCTCGTTCCCTACTGAACCTGTAGTGCTCAACAATGTTTATTTCATCCTGAAGAAAATACAGTAGTTGCTTGTTTATTAATTTGGCTATTTTTTTTTTTTTAATACGTAATCATTCTGGAACATTACAGAGTATGTATAATGACATAATGGACTCCCATCACTC